AGAGAGAGAGAGAGAGAGAGAGGGGGGGGCAGAGGCAAACAGAAATACAGACAGACACACAGACAGACAGACAGAGAGAGAGACAGACAGACAGAGAGAGAGAGAGAGAGAGAGAGAGAGAGAGAGAGAGAGAGAGTAGACAGACGGACGGACGGACGGACAGACAGACAAACAGACAGACAGAACAAGAGCACATCTGAGCCCGTCACTTCTTCACTTCTCACTTCTCACCTAACTCTAAACCTTCCCTCTTCTCCCCAGGAGGTGCCGGGCCGTGACTGGGTCGTGGCTTCTAGCAGAATCCCGGACACACAATACACCGTCCGGGGCCTGCGCAGTGACCGAGACTACCGGTTCCGGATCAAGCCAGAGACTGAGTATGGCACCGGAGAGTACAGTCTCCCGGTGCAGGCCCACAGACGCACAGGTACGGGGAAACTCTGAGCGATACTTTCACTTAGTTGTTGGTTCTTATGGCATTGAACGTGTAGCGTTCTTCTCTTACATTTCCATTTATGTCTGTTGGTTTGGGGGGGGGGGGGGTCTTTTTCTTTCTTGGGTCATTTTGTAGTTTTTTTGTGTCTTTGGAGCTTACAGCTGAGAAATGAATGCCTTTTTACCTCCTCAGCGCCTGTCCTGCCAAGCCGAGAGCCTCTTCTCTCCAAAGTGGCTCCTTCTTCGGCCACCATATCCTGGCAGCCCGCCTCACTCCCCTCTGGACTTCCCTCTCGTCCTATCGTCTACCGCCTTGAAGCCCGGGAACCGCCCAGCTCCAGGTGGTATGAGCTGGTAGCACGCTTACCTTCCACGTCCTACGACATGCAGTTCCTCTACCCTGATCAAGACTACATGTTCAGGTTAGCCTCCACTAGACGCTCCGTTGGTTTAGAATTGTGTGATATTGGCTTAACTCTTCTTTGGACTTTGTATTTTTTAAAGATGCAGGACCACTTACATATGTTCACCTGCGATATATAATATGTCATGTAATTGTAGAAGTTTTACGCCTCCATTAATACTTTTTAGATCATTTAGCAGGACCTTGAACGAAGCTTGTACTTCTCGACATTTAACGATACGAGAGGAAGATAAGTAAAGGATGACAGTTTGATTGGGCCCTTCCTGTCAGGGTCAACCTGGCTCGAGAGGGATAGAATGCCCCAGCAGGAAAAAAAAGGATATATTTATTTTTAAAAATTCTCATTCGGAAATTGAACTCATGTCTTATGTGTGCAATGGAGAAGCGCTTACAGTTACACAACAGACGACAGTTCCATGTCTGATAGGACCTTGCCAACGTTTGTTCGCCGTAAAGGCATACTCCAAACAAATATTATTTTTTGAATATGTAGAAAAGGACGAATACTCGGATGGCAACTTCAACTATATGACAACATTTTGAGCTTTCTTATTATATCATTAAAATGTTATTTTTATAAAGATTCTTTACACATCGTTGCACCGGCAACATATGATTTTTCTTGGGGTTTTGTTTTGTTTAAATGTGTATGATAATACTTAAGACTCCTTCGCCCTCACTTCGCATGCAGGTACTCACGTCATTTCTTTAAGCACGAGCACATCAGGGTAACTTTTAACTCGTTACACGACTGCTAGTTGAAGACAATTTTTGCCAGTTTTTTCTCATTTCACAGCTTATACTTTGCAGACGACCTGGGTGCGAAATTTTCCTAGTTTGCTCTCGTTTAGTAGAGAGGGTTAGAAATAATTTCAAACTTCATCTACCCCTCTAGTATCTCTTGAAGATGCACTGCTCTTTCAACAGGATTTTGTTTTTATAGAGGTTTGGCTTTCTTTCAGAATCGTGGCAGACTATGACGGTGTAGAGAGTGAACCCACCATGGCTGCCTACCTTCCCCGTCGTGCAGGTCAGAACTGTTGAGAACCTAACAATGGCCGTCATCTACTCGTCTTACAATTTAAAAAAATTGAAATTTAGTTTTACTCGAGTTTTGTACAGAGACAAAGAGAGAAAGTGAGACAGAGAGAGGGAAACAGAGGGAAAGAGATTGAGAGAGAGAAAGAGAGTGAGAGAGAAAGAAAGAGAGGGGGGAGGAGAGAGAGGGGGATGAAGGGAAGGAACGAGAAAGGAGGGATGAAGGAAGAGAAAGATATGGGGAGAGTCAGAGAGACGAAAAGTTTCATTGTAAAAGTAATGTCACAGGAGACACGGGTTGGTGTCGTGTAGATGAAACTCTACAGCAGAGAGAGAGAGAGAGAGAGAGAGAGAGAGAAAGAAACTCACATACGGTGGCTGCTATGCCTTTGACGCCACTAATAACACCTTGTTCCAATCTCAGGTCCACCGAAGATGCCCCGAGACCCTCCATATGCCTCCAGTGTCCAGCCAGACTCTCTCATCCTAGCCTGGCGGTCAGTGGAGTTGCCCAGTCGAATCACGGATTACTCACCTGTCTCGTACAGAATTGAAGTAAGTCACGAAAATATCGGAATGATGGTTGAGCTGTAGCTTGTGGAGAGTTGGTGGGGATGCGAAAAAGAAGCATTTAGGAAAAAAACTGGACCACAAGACTATATTAATGAAGGAACCAACAATATTTTCCAAACCATTTTCCGGTTGTGTGTGTGCTTTTTTAAAATTGTTATTATATTCTTTTATTTCCCCCAAAAGAAGGTCAATTGATGGATCTTATCTGTTCTTATTAAAATGTTTGTAATGCAAAATGTACCTATCTATCTATCTATCTATCTATCTATCTATCTATCTATCTATCTATCTATCTATCGATCTATCGATCTATCGATCTTATCTATTTATCTCTGTCTGTTTGTCTGTGTGTCTGTGTGTCTGTCTTTCTGCCTGTCTGTTTGTTAATCTGGTGGGTTGGTTGTTGTTTTTTTACGTCAAATGGCTTTAAAATTGGTTTTGTTTTAGTATCTGTCACGACGTGGTGGAATCAGGCGCTCGTCAATTTTTTGTGAATATGGGGTTATTGGTACCATCTTGAAGCCTGCTCATTTTCTTTTGTTTAGAGGGGAAAAAAATCCATCTACACGAAATAGAAGTCAAAATATTTGCGATTGAAGGAGGTCAGGGTCGCCTGGTTTCAGAGGTAAAATTAGCGAGAAAATGGTCGCCAAAGTTTGATAACTTCCATAGCTTTAGAGCCCTTGGGAAATGAAAATTTACATTTGTTTGTGCCTTTAATCAATGTTTTTCTGCAATATCAACACACAAAGGTGTTTTAAAATGAACATAAAAGGTGTTGAGCGAAAAAAAAAATCCAAACAAATTTCCGAACTGGCCGAAAAATTATGATTTCTCGGATTTCATTATTTTGACAAGAGCCTGATTCCACCAGACGCTGCCTCACAAATGGGTTTTACGTTGTTTCTGTTATGGTATCCCCAAATGGATTTCACTCGTACATTGTTTCAGTCATAGTAGTATCGCCCAACAAAGCTTCTCTTCTCACTGTCGTCCTCCATCTCTCACCCAGGTCTTGGAGCACCCACGCTCTGACTGGCGACCTCTGGCCCGACAGGTCACGGACACACACTACCAGGTGACCAAGCTGAGGCCAGACCTGGACTACTCTTTCCGGGTCAGAGCAGAAAATGAGTTTGGTATCAGTGACCCAACCGATGCCCTGCTCATCAAGAAGAGAGCTGGTATGTTTTTGGTTACTCGGTGATTTCCGTTCTCTTTCCATGAATTACTCCCCCCTCCCCCCCAACCGTGAATACCTTCTGAAACGTTTTTCTTTAAGATTGTGTGTGTGTGTGTGTGTGTGTGTGTGTGTGTGTGTGTGTGTGTGTGTGTGTGTGTGTGTGTGTGTGTGTGTGTGAGGAAGGAGTGGGAGAGAAAAGAAGAGAGAGAGAGAGAGGAGGAGGAGGAGGAGGAGGAGGAGGAGGAGGAGGAGGAGGAGGAGGAGGAGGAGGAGGAAGAGGAGAGAGATGGAGGGAAAGAGAGAGCGAGAGAGAGTGAGTGAGACAGAGAGAGAGACAGAGAGAGAGATAGAGAGAGAGAGAGAGAGAGAGAGAGAGAGAGAAAAGAGAGAGAGAGATAGAGATAGAGAGAGAGAGAGACAATGCCAAAATATTAGTCATGTGTTTATGTGCGTATTATTGCAACGTTATAAAGATATTGCTGAAGCTGATACCTTAGTTCGACTTCATCCTGTATTAGTGAGAACGTCGTAGGCACTTATTATAGAAGAAGAAGAAGAAGAAGAAGAAGAAGAAGAAGAAGAAGAAGAAGAAGAAGAACAAGAAGAAGGAGGAGGAGGAGAAGAAGAAAAAGAAGAAGGATTAAAGAATCCTCTCCTATTTTGTACAGTTGCGCCCACGATGTCCCAACTGGAGCCTCTCATCTCCGATGTCCGGCCCGAGTCTGTACGTCTCACTTGGAAACCTGCCGAGCTGCCCTCATACCTCACAGACTACGTGCCTTTGGCTTACAACGTGTTCCAACAGGTGTGTGCTTGTGTGTATGGGTGTGTGTGTGGGGGGGTGTGTGGGGTGTGTGTGTGGGTGTGTTTCTGTGTGTATGAGTGTGTGAGAGAGAGAGAAAGTGCGTGTGTGCGTATGTAGGTGTATGTGTGTGTATCTTTCACCGTCTGCCTGTCAGTGTGCATATCTACTAGTCTGACTGTCTGTCTGACTGCCTAACAGTCTACTTATCTATCTATCTATCTATCTATCTATCTATCTATCTATCTATCTATCTATCTATCTATCTATATATATATCTATCTATCCATATATCTGTCTGTTTGTCTGTCTGTCTGTCTGTCTGTCTTTCTGTTTATCTATTTGTCTATGCATCACAGGGTCCAAGAGTGTCCAGTGAGCTTTTTTCTTGCTTTGATCCTTTACATTTCATTTGTTATAAAAGACAGTTTAATTGCACGGAAGATGAGATCATTTTACCCTGTTGAGCGCTTGTTGAAAGTTGAGACGTGAACCCAAAATGGAATCTAATTGTTTCCACCTCTCAAGATGTCTTGTTTCTGATCAAGTTCCTAGGTTCTGCTTTTTAGTGGGATGACGGAATCAAAATGCATAATATTCACAAGATATTTCCTTCGGCGTTTCCCAGGAGGAAGGTGACCCCTCCTGGCAGCCCATCGCCCGCCGTGTGGCAGGCACCAGCTATTACGTGACAGGGCTGCTGCCTGACAGAGATTACAACTTCCGGGTTCAGGCTGAGAACAACTACGGTACCAGTCTGCCCACGATGCCTTCAAGACTTCGGCGAGAGATTAAAGGTAATGAGTGACCATTTCTGTTCAATAGTTCTATTCACTAGGATTATTTTTCGTAAGCTATGCTCTAAGGACCTCTAATGTCTCATTTCTAATGAAATAACGTCCACATCTTGCTACACCCATTCATACTCCACAACGTCTTTTATCTTATTATTTAGGAAAGTATGACTGTGGGTTAGAGATGTCTTGTGTGTGTATATCTGGCAGAGGGGTGTGGTAGATTTTTTTAAAGACGTGTAGTGACAAAATCATCATCATCATCATCATCATCATCATCATCATCATCATCATCATCATCATCATCATCATCATCATCATCATCATCATCATTACCATCATCATCATCATCATCCTCATCACGTTTATGCAGTATTATCACCATCACTATCAGCATGACTGTCGTTATCGTTACCATCAGCACTGCCATTTTCATCATCATTACCACCCTCCCTGTAGGGCCCATCTACTCCCCTATCGTGGAGGACATCGAGCCCTCTGCCTTCCGCCTGTCCTGGAAGCAGCCATCCCTCGCCAAGAAGGCCACGTACTCTGTGGAATCTCTGGAGCCCGGCACCTGGAAATGGCGGCCCCTTGTCTCCCGCCTGCCACACCCCAGCTACAAGGTGACCAACCTGCAGCCGACACGTGACTACGCCTTCCGCGTCCGCGCCGAGGTGGACTCTGTGGTCACGGAACCCTCACTGCCCATCTCCTTCTCCAGCCACAGATGTAAGTCCTCAGTTATTGAGCGTTGGTCAGACGTTGTTGTGTTCTATTGCTTATTTTTCTTGGCGTGGCTTCCCTGGCATTTTCAACTCTGAGTAGCTTTACTCTCTTTGATCTCCGCTAGAATGTAATCAGTTGTATTTTGAACATGGCCAGTCATTTAGATAGTACGTGGCAATTTCCATGCTTAAAAGACTCAGGATGCCTCTCGGTTGATAATCTTTCTTATTGCCTTGCTGTGAAATGAATTCGCTGTCTCTTTGCGTGAATTATATGAAGGGAATTAGTGTGCCTTTTCATCTTTCAAAACTGTTACTCATAAGTAGCCTGCGCTTTCAAACTCTTTCTAGTTATAACCTAGCTTGTAATTCTTCTCTTTGTGCTCCAAACTCCGTCCCGATATAAGCATGCTCACTTCGTGCCAATTTCTTAGAATTACATTTAAATTTTCTTCCTGTTTGATGTTCTCCAATTTTCCTTGAGATAAACCTGATTAATTTTTTTCTTTACGTTCCCAATGTTGTTTTGTAGAATTTTGTACATGCACATTTTCGATAACTTTTTCAAAAGATGTATTCTAGACATCCCCACTCCGCCCCTTTTGAGATCTTGTTCACCTACTCATCGCTGCTTTCAAACTTTATAGAAGGATTTCAATTGCTGTATCTTTTCTCTTGGTAATCCTTAAAAATGTGTCATTACAAAAGCCTTTGATGGGCTTATATAATGATAAGGTGAACACAAGCATCCCTATTTTGCCCGTATTTTTATCAACCCTCCACGAATTTTTTTGCCTCTATAATCTAAAACTGTTTCTATTGTACATATCACTTTTCTATAAATGCATAATCGTTTCAGTGTTTTATTGTTCCTAGTTGGTAAAGAACAAAGTTTTAAAAGGCAAATATTCTTTCTTGAATTCTCTTTAAACTAAACGTTTGTCCAGGCCTGCACCATTGATTGTTTATGATGAAGCTTCTTTCTAAAAGGTTTGAGAACTTTTCATTAAGAGTCGAGATTTAAAAAACAAACAACTAAAACACATGTCACTTTTTTCTGCTGCTGAGGTTTTTCTCACCAATCTGGGGCATAAAAAAGTCAACTTACAAGTCTCACGGAAGAGTTCACCTTTTGCACTTTTTCACGGACCCAGTAAAGCAATCACTAATTAGCCATCATTTTCTTAACCACAGGCTCAAACTAAGACAACATGAACAAACAGAAGTAACGGGAAATTTTCCAACTCTTTCTGTTTATAAACTTGCATGCATTTTTTCTTTGAGCTCCAAACCCTGAAGAGCATCAAGATAATCAAGCTTCACGAAACCATAGATACAAAAGGGAAGAGGGAGGGGGAAGATGTGGTGATTAACATACTGAAGGAGCGACCTGATAAGTTGAAACAATAAGAACAATACAGTTACCTCCAGGTGTTTGGCAGTAGTTAGTGATTTGAAGAAGTTTCTTTTCGTGTGTTGCTGAGATAATTTTCAGCTAGCTTTTGTTAAACTATGTCTACGCTTATGGTTGGCATGCTACTTCTCTTTAAATGTTGCTCCAAAAGGCGACTGCAGCCTTCATGATTCGTGACCTCGCTCTTGCTGTCAAGTTCCTATTCCTGCTCTGTGTTTGGCTACTACATAATAGTACGTGCATCACCTACCTTCCTTGTGCCAGAATTTCCACATACTTCTTATGACGGCAAGATGACTGCAAGATGCCGGAAATATTGTCGCAGTACGGGGATCAATTCAATTCAAACCTGGCCCTTCAGATAATGATATTATGTGTATTACAATAATTTTCTCATTTACTTTTCAGCTCTTAGGAGGGCATACTCTGAACAACATGGCGAAGAGGGTACAGGCTTTGTATAAGATTATATGTTGATTCACCTTTGTTTGAATGCATTGTGTTTCCAATACTCTTTCGAAAGCACTGTACTCACACGTCTAACACTATATGTCGGTTTTTACTTGATGTTTTTTTTTTTCATTTGAAAGTATAATGCAAAAATTATAACCATTCTGTTTGAAAGTATCTAACGCAAAAAATACGAAGATAGAGAATCAAATTATTGTATCTCGGGGCGATTAGCAAAGAACATCTAAGAGGAAAGCACTTAACTGAGAGAGATGTTGTCACAACATAAATCAGAGAGCAGGGAGGGAATTATGGGGGGTTGGTATTTTCTTTTCCTGATGAGATGAATTTTTTAAGAACAATAATTTGGTTCTCTACACTTAAGGGACATGTCAAGTCTAGGAGCCCAACATCTGGCGATTTAATACTTTTACATTCGTACAATTGTCAGCGTGGTGTGGTTCATATTAACAAATGATAAATTTTAAGTTCTTATGTATTTTTTCAATTGTCATTTTCTATAAACGCTATTTCTTCCTTCTGGGTGCTCATTTTCCTTTCATTTGTCTTTTTTTTTATAAGCGACATTTCTCATGCTATGCACTTTACTTTCAAGTACCTCGACTGGTTTATTTCCATTCAGCATAAGATTTGACTACACTTATTCTTTCTTTTATGTTTTTCGGATTAAATGTCACTTAGCTTTGTGTCCTGATGATATAATTTGCACCTTCAAAGTAATTATTTCGGTAAATGTTATTGTTTATTTTGTTTCTACGTTCGGCACCATTGCACACTTATATATATATACGTGTGGGCACAAGCTTCGGTGAAATATTATCACAATTTTTGTTCGTACAATTTGGTTACTGTATTTTGACTTAAAGATTATCATACAGATATCTTCAGTTTTTGATTTTGGATGAAAAGGTTTGTTAACACTATTTTGCTATGCACTTTTTTTCATATAACATTATGAAATGTTTATGTCTGTATAAACCTTTTTGTTGGTAATGTTGTTGTATTTTTTGACAAAGTGTTTGAATGCAAAACTGTGTCTTTAACAAAAACACGCAACAAATAAGTTGCTACTAAGAAGATATAAAGTTCAAGCAAGTATTCTTGCCTTGTAAACTGACAACTAGATTTGTTTTTCTACATTTTCAAAATATGATCATCTGGTTCCACTGCAATGGCTGCATGAAAAGCCATGGTTTTGTAGAATAGTGCCCAAATTGTAACTACTTTAATAGATTGAAGTGCTAGATGGTGATTACGAAACATACATTTTCCCGAGCAACTCCAACGTGATATCTGTCTTATGAAATATTCTGCTCACAAATGTTTCCTTAACTGGGTTTATTTATTCTTGATTTATTATTGTTATGTGTGTGTAATGTTATTCACCTTGTTAACGAGATGATCTTAGAAAAGCTTCCAGGATGACGCTTATCCAGCATTCAAAAGAACAGGAGATAACTGGCATCAACCTAGAATGCCATGCGCTGCACGGTTCTGCGTTTAAAGTTATTGATTTTAATAACCAGCGCCTTACTCTCACTTTTCTTCTAAATTTTAACTTAAATCTTGCCTTTTATTTATGTTTTCTTCTGCCCATGCAGTATTGGAGGCGACGCGCAATTCATGTCCAATGTAACGCTTAATTTGTCCAGATTGTTTTCCCTCTTTTATTCCATAAACCTAAAAATGTATCGTTGACATTGCCTAATTTTTGTTTGTTTTTTTCTTGGGGGGTGTTAACGCAGATCATAGTACTATCCCACGAAACTACCTTGACCGTTTTCCTTCACCCCCATCTAACAGTTTAATATGTGTGACATCTCAACAGCCCTGCCGACTGTGCCCGTGGAGAGGCCCACACTGTCCGAGGTGTACGAGGACTCTGTCCGTGTCAACTGGCACCCCAACCTCTACCACGGGGCCACGCTCAAGTCTGCCCCTAAGGCCTACAGGCTGGAGGTATGTCATTGGTTCTCCGCCACAATAAAACGTCCATGATGTCATTTTGGAGCTGGTTGGTGGATGTTCTGGTGTGGCCTGCCCTTGTGAAAGACGTTTGTAATATAATCTACTTGGGTAAACAAAGAAAAGGCAAAAAGGGAGGTGACAAAGAGAAGGGGGCGGTGGGAGGGAAACACATTTAACAAACAGATGACAAATTTATTTTAAAAAGCACTGAGGTGGAATCCCCTAAGACTAGAGCAACAAAGAAAGGTCAAAAGAACAACATGGCGAAATAAGGTGGAGGCTGATGGAAAATATCTGAGCGGAAAGTAAACACATAACAACATTCTTTATCAAGCTTCATAATTCAGAAAAAGGAGCTAAGAACAAGAACACGTCATAACAACATTCTGTTTTACCTGTGGTCTGTAAACAGGTGCGAGAGCTTCCCGACTCCTACTGGCGCACGCTCGTCCCCCGCACCGAGTCCTGGAACTTCGAGGTCACTGACCTTCTACCTGGTCAAGACTACGCCTTCCGGGTGCGGACCGTGTCAGACACCGGCATGTCGGAACCCTCACTTCCTGTTTTCCTGTACAGGAAAGCAGGTAGGGACCTAAGTTTTTTCTATTTGAAACTGATAATTACCTTGCTTCAGACTTTTACTAGGCTTAGGTTATTTTTTATTTTAAAAAAGAGCAGCAGCAATGTCGAAGGTCAAAATGCCCCCCGCGCGCCCCCCCCCCCCCCCCAAATAACTGTATTATAGTTCTGATTTTTATATGACTTTAACTGAAACCGAGTACTTTTTGAAAACTTCTGAATATCCCTTTGTCGTTACCAGTCTCTTCTGTTTCTGCCGTGTCTTTTACAGCATCATGGTGCGTGCTAGAACATCATACTTCAACAGTTGATTATTATTCCATCTCTGGAGCCAAAACCAAAGTCAGTCACTGAACTGCTGCTCCTCTCTAGCTATGGGTGGTTGGCGAGAGCTCTGATGTGATTTGTTCGTTCCCTTCTATTAAACATCTATCGGCAGTTATCTCCCCTCTCTTTCTTGGTCTGTTACTCTCTAAAAACACCTCTAATCTTCGGCACTTATTAAGTGACCAAATTGTGTTGCAAGTGTTGTAAAACTCTTACTAAAACTAAATTTCTGTGTGTGAGAGCTCTAAAAACACCTCTAATCTTCGGCACTTATGTGACCAAATTGTGTTGCAAGTGTTGTAAAACTCTTACTAAAACTAAATTTCTGTGTGTGAGAGAGGGAGAGAGAGAAAGAGAGAGAGAGAGAGAGAGAGAGAGAGAGAGAGAGAGAGAGAGAGAGAGAGAGAGAGAGAGACACACACACACACAGATATATATATATATATAAAGGGAGAGGAAGGGAGGTGGAACGGGTGTGTACGTGTGTGTTTGTGTGTGTATGTGTGTGTGTGTGTGTGTGTGTGTGTGTGTGTGTGTGTGTGTGTGTGTGTGTGTGTGTCTGTGTGTATGTGTGTTCAAGTGGTGTGTCTTATCTTATCTTATCTTATCTTATCTTAAATTGTTGTATCTTATCTGCAGCCACACCCAAAGTGCCCCTGCCTTTCCCGGAAGTGGCTGACGTAGGTGAGGACTACATCGGACTCCGCTGGAAGACAGTGGACGTCCCGGCTTTCGAGACGGACGAGTCGCCACTGTCTTTCATCATCGAAGCCCAGAGACTGCCTGAGTACGACTGGAAGCCTCTTGTCCGGAATGTCACGGGATCTTCTTACAAGGTGAGTGGAACAGGGAGAGAAAAGTGTGTGGGGGGAGGGGGGGGCGGGAGCAGTTTACCCCTTTGAAAAGATCACCAGAGAGGGGGAGGGTGAGGGCTTGGGTCCTATGAGGCTCTGCTATATCTTCAACGTGATTTAACTTTCTCTATTTCCAAACATACAGAAATAGATGTTAAAGAGATATTCGTTATGGGGTAATAATGGTTGTACAGCAACTAAAGCATATTATTGTACGTGAATATTCGTTATATAATTGCAATTGATGTCAATATCGTTGTTGTTGTTGTTTTTGTTGTTTTTGTTGTTAGTAGTAGTAGTAGTAGAAATAGTAGAAGTAGCAGTAGTAGTAGTAGTAGTAGTAGTAGTAGTAGTAGTAGTAGTAGTAGTAGTAGTAGTAGTAGTAGTAGTAGTAGTAGTGGTAGTGGTAGTGGTAGTGGTGGTAGTAGTAGTAGTAGTAGTAGTAGTAGTAGTAGTAGTAGTAGTAGTAGTAGTAGTTGTTGTAGTAGTAGTAGTAGTAGTAGTAGTAGTAGTAGTAGTAGTAGTAGTAGTAGTAGTAGTAGTAGTAGTAGCAGTAGTAGTAGTAGTAGTAGTAGTAGCAGCAGCAGCAGTAGCAGTAGTATATTATTATTATTATTATTATTATTATTATTGTTGTTGTTGTTGTTGTTATTATTGTTGTTGTTATTATTGATGTTATTGTTACGTCATGATCATGTTTAGGACAAAAAGTTGTGTTCAGTATTTTTTTGTAGTTTTAATTGAAAACATGAATTACAAAAATTCTCATTACCTGCACTGAATTAAATACTTTTTGCTTTCAAGCAGTGGATACACACTGAAGTTAAGATTGTCTGATTTCCATCAAAACCTGACGCACATGAAATTTACTGTTGACGAATCTTGAGTACCACTCCAGGTAGTGAGTTGTCACTTTAAATAACCCAGCAACTACAAGCTCCTACTGATGTTGTCATGAATCTTATTAGACACCGGTGTACTACTTTAAGTATAATCTAAAGTTCTACACTTTGCTGATACCAACTTATGGAATAGACGAAAAGGTGTTCAGAATGCTCTGTGTCCCTTCAAGTTAAGAAGTCGACACGTCTATAGGATAAGTTCTAAATTGTTTTTTCTTGCATATGTCATTAATCACAAATATCTGCTTGCCTATACTACAACTGTACCCTAATATACCAAATCTTTGTTTTTTCTGAGCATTTGGGGGGTACAATACATGCTTGTATCTTGAAACCTATCTTTTTATGCTGAAAACACTAACGTTTGAAAAATTATTATCATTATTAACTATACCTGATGTGTCAAAGCAGGGAAAAGGCTTACGACTTGTAAGAGTTAAACTTATGCAAACCGTGTCAAGGCCTTTTATCTCCCAGTCTGACTGTTGTACTGACACCACAATGTATATCCTCCTCCCCTCCTCTCCTCCTCCCGTCCACCCCCCTCGCTGCCCCCCATCCCCTTACCACCCCGCTCCCCGTCCCGCTACCCTCATGGGTCAATAGGTGACTGGTCTGGAGCCTAAGAAGGACTACAAATTCCGCATCCGAGGCGAGACAGCAGTTGGCCTGACTCAGCCATCTCAGCCATTGCCGGTTTACAGGAGTCCAAGTAAGTGTTTTGTTTTTTTAAGTTTAAGGCTATACTTTCCCTGAGTAAACACAATTCTTGGAGGGGTGATCGTGTCTTGTTGTACTCCAAAGAACTACATTGTAAGAAAACGACGCGCACATTTGACAGTTCTGAAGAACTTTAGTCTTCGAGCTGTAAAATGTATAGAAAGGCAAAAACAACAACAATTTAATCATCATCATCATCCTCATCATCAACATCAATAACAACAACCACAACAACAACAAAAACAACAACAACAACAACAACAACAACAGCAACATTAATATTAACAACAACAGCTATTACAACAATTATTACAACAAAAATAACAACTAATACAACCACGACTTTAATGTTCAATTGACCTCCTATTTTATTTTGAAATTCATATATATACCTCCTCAGTGAAATCTGGAGTCCCAGTCACTAACGTGACCATCGACAGGGATTCGAACCAGCCCTACGCCGCACGTATCAGGTGGCACCCTGTTTACATCCACCCATATGTTGCCTCTCAGGACACGACCTACATGGTTGAAGTGAGCTTTTCTTCCCTCTTCTCTTCTCGAATTGTGACACATTTAAAGTTCACAATATAGAGTTTTAATCCTTTCTCTCACTAGACTCTCTCTCTCTCTCCCCCCCCCTCTC